GAGCGGCGGGGGCGGGGAGCGAGCGCGACGGAGAAGGCTGGCGAAGAGGGGCCGCCGCCCCGGCAGGCCAAGGCGGTCCGGCAAAAAGGGTGCCATGCCCAGGCGGGCGCGAGGAGACCCGCCCCGGGCTGCGCCGCTGCCTGCCGTCTGCCGCTTGCCGTCTGCCACCGCCTGCCGCTTGCCTCCTGCCGTCTGCCACCGCCGCCGCCGCGGCCACGGGCGCGCCAACGCCCGGAGAGTTGGCACGCAGAGGGGAAACGGCCAAAAAAGAGAGACGCGCTCCCGCACGGGATCGAACCGCGGACCTTGGGATTAACAGTCCCACGCTCTACCTACTGAGCCACAGGAGCACGGCGTCTAGCCCGGGCTCCGGCTATATGAATGTGCCGCCCGCGGCCCTGGCCGGCCAGTTAATGTGGGTTGCCGATTGTGCTCCACCCCGGCGACCAGGCCGAGCGCGTCCGGGGGACACACCCCCAGTGCCCCCCCCCCCCCAGGGACACGGGCAGACACATGTGTTTGCGGCGGCGGCGGCGGCGGCGCTCGGCCCCCGGGCCGGGTAGTCCGGGCGGACGGGGGCGCCCCCCCATCAGCGACCGGCCCGAAGCCGCACGCCTGCCAGGTGCAGCCGCACCGCCACCCCTCCCCAGTTCCCCGCCAGCCCCTCGCGCACACGCCCCTCCTGCGCACCGCCCATTCCATCTCCCTCGACCGGACCCAGCCTCGTCGGAAGCAGCATGTTCTCTCGCCTGTCCCAGCCCGCCTTCCTCCGCCGCGCCTGTGCGGCCGCCGCCCCCCGGGTGCTCCCCCGGCCGGGCGCCGCTCGGCCGCCCACCCGGCACCTCTCCTCGGCCCCGGGCGAGGGCGCCCCTACCGCGGGCACGTCGGCCGCCCCGGCCCCGCCGGCTGCTGGTGCCGCCCCGGCCGCCCCGGCCGCCCCGGCCTCCGCTACTTCGACGGCCTCCGCTACTTCGACGGCCTCCAACGCCGGTGCCGCCTCCTCCGGTGCCGCCTCCTCCGGTGCCGCCTCGTCTGGTCCCCGGAACCCCTTCAGCCATCCCCTCTCCTGGGTCAGCCTGGCCCTGATGGGTGCTGTCGGGTATAAGCTGACCGACTATTTTGAGACCGAGCGCGCCAAGATGCTCGAGATTTGTGCGTGCCCCCTCCCCGCCCCCCCCCCTCCTCCCCGCACTGCTGGGCCGCATGCCTCTCACCATCGCCCTCCTACTCACACACACACACACACACACACACACACAGCCCAGAAGGAGCAGAAGGCCTCCTACGGCAAGCCGCGCCTCGGCGGGCCCTTCGAGCTGATCAACGCCAAGACCGAGGCCCCCTTCTCGGACCGCGATCTCCATGGCAAGCATGCCCTCCTGTACTTCGGCTTCACCCACTGCCCGGATGTCTGCCCCGAGGAGCTGGACAAGATGGTGGCCGCCACCAAGCAGATCCAGGCCCTGGCCCTGGCCAAGGCCGGTGGCCAGGCCGCCGCCGTGCCCGAGACCCACCAGGTCAACAACGTTTTCATCACCCTGGACCCGGCGCGCGACACCCCGGCCGCCGTGGCCGAGTACCTGTCCGGTGCGTGGCCGCACATGCCCCTCCCTGCCCCGTGCCCCTCGCCGTGCTTGCTGTGCCTCCCCCCTCGGCCTGGCCCCC